GCTAATGATTTATTCAATTATTTTTCTCATCTGCTCTCATCAACTGTGGCTTACCTGTTAAGAAATAGGGCTTTTTGAAACTAATACTCCTTGCATAACTATGTCATAAAAAACATCGCAAGAACAGTATAGGTGTTCCCTTAAATATACGTACTTCGCACAGTGTATGGAGCTCACTGTGTTATACTTTCGATGATTCTTTTATTTTTTATTTTTGTTTCGCGAGAACACTCCAGCTGAAAATCATTGCAAGAACAAAGACCCTTATCAAAATGATGGTACCCACACAGCTAACTGTTTTCTTTATCCTACTGTTTTTGCGGGTTTGAGGTACTCAACAGGTGATCGTTAAAACTTGTCGATTTCTTGAGACCTTCCATTCAGCAACAAAAACAAAACTCTGTATTTATAGGAAGCCAAACTAGTCTGGTTCTTATGGAAACATGTACCAGCATTCAATTCCTTAAGTCAGCAGATTTACAAGTCATACCTTTTGACCCCTAAGACTAACTAGCAGCTAATTCTTCAAGGTCATGCAAAGAAACAAAATGACTCCCAATAAGGGATCTTTTTTAAAACAAATTCTCCATGCCAGTACTATTTAAGAGGCGATCTCTATAAGAGTGGTCCAGGGCAATTCGCATCGGAAAAAAGTTTTCCCTCAAACTTTGCCCAATAAACTATCTTTGGTAACAAGTAAAAAAAACCACATTAGTTTCTGGAAATACCTCAAAATAAAACTTTTAGAGCTCTCAAAAGTCAAAGCTGCAAAAGGCCCTTTTTTGACCTCTTGCGACATCGAAAATTTCAAAAGTTGAATAGCCCGGTCCTCGTATCACACCGCATGCAACAAAAAAATTTTGTATTCTTAAAGTGTGTGATATACAAGGTGTATAAAATGCATTTCAATTTTGATATTCGTTTATTCAGAGGCTCGTCGTAATTTATTTAAAAACACTCGTTGGACAGCTTTCTGAAATTGGTTAAAAGTACTCTTTCTTTCTCGATTGATATTGCTCAAGTCCAGACCAGACCGAACCATTAAAAACTCCGCTTGATTTCTGCCATTAAGATGTTTGGCTGCAGAAAAATATAAAAACATCTTGCAGTTATTGATCTTCTTCGCCGAGGTGACTTCGAACTTTTAGCGATATTGCAAGCGTGACAGCCGATTATGCAAATTAGTTCATTGAGCAAACTCCGACCGTTTTATGTGAGTAGCTCAATAAATCTTAGATTTTAACCATTTTAAGTAGAAAATATAGTAGGACAGAGCTTTAAAAACACACCGATTAATACTTTAAGCATTTTAAAAGGCCAAAATTTGACAAATTTTATTATCTCGTGACGAAAGACGTCAACAACAACGTATCGAATATCATAATTTGATTAGCGCTCGCAAACTCTCTTTTAAAAATTGGGCTTCTGTTATTTCATATTTGAGTTCTGATGGCTTACGCTATTCAAACCTGTATGAACATTTCAAAACCAAACTACAGGATTCTATTTAGTGTAACCGGCGATAACAGCACACACTGAAATACACCGTGACCACTGTCACATAATTCAATTCTGTAATTATCCTCAATTGCTTCTCCCTTCTTAATAAAGCAGCGATAACATCGCCTTTTGGATCCGAATTCTGGTCGGCAGGAATAAGAGAAATTTTGTCTGCACTCCTGTCGTTATGAAAGTTTCTATTCAGAACTCTAGGGAGTTCTTGTGGAAAAGGGCCCCGCGATTTTTGAGGAAATAAATTATTACGTTACGTGTGACCTCGTTTTTCCAACAATTAGCTATATCTATACTGTAAAGTGCGTAATTGTATTAGCTGTAATTCCTATGTCTCTTTCGGTACTAGTTTGCTTGAGATTAAGGGGGTATTCGCCAAAAGAAGTCCTGTTTTCAGTCGCGTTCCTCAGAAACTTCGTTCGGAGACTCACGAGGAGTTTCCGGTTTGTTTAACTTGCCTCAGAGTACTGACTCAATAAAGAGTCATCTCTGCTTAATCCTTTTGTCAAAAGAGAGTTTCGCAGAAGGAGAGCTTATCTTTGCAAGGGCTGGCCTGTTCGATGTAGAAGACTCAGTTATGGCAAAATGTGGGTCTGCGCAAAACATAGGCACACTTATGGGACGGTTCTGGCGTCAAAGGTCAGCGTGCCAGTATCCGACACACCCTGGTAGCGATTCCAAAGGGCTAAAGAGCCGGTATACTGTCAATTTGCAAATGTCAAAGGCCATTTCTAGGATGTATGGCGTTCTATAGAGGTTTACACGATACTGCAGCTGATGGAGCGGATGGTTTCAAGGATTTTCTCCAAATTATAAACGAATTGGAAAGCGTGGGAGCAGAAAAGGACTAGTGTAAAGAAGTTCGGAAGAGGCTTCAGGAGAGCAAGTTGTATTTGAAGACTACATACCGTAATCACTGCGAAGAGGACGATAGCAAATGTGCCGATCACTGTAGGGTCTTTGCACTGAGCCATGCTGGTGACACTGACGTTCAGAAAGTATGCAGTCACAGTCACAACGTGAATTGTGAGGATTGTGAGATGCTGAAGAGTGTTCTTGAAGAAGTAAAAGGCGCTATTTCTGAGTACACAATGCAATTGGGTAGTTTTCAAGCGGAAGACTATCTGTATGAAGCAAAAAATGCTGCCGCTAAGATCTTTGAATGGAGAGGGCATATCCTGAGAGCAGAAACCAGGATCAGTACGAGCGGCAAATTGTCGATACTTTGGAGGGAGATGAAGCATCTATAATAGTTGAGTGGACAATGAAGTTCATAGCGATGAAGTTCCGGGAAAAGCAAGCAGAATGGTTTCCCAAGAGGGAAATCAATTGGCATGTGAGTAGCGTTGTTGTAAGACAGGAGGAAAGCCTGGAAGTAACCTAATACGTACACCTTCTTAACAGCTGTAAAAAAGACTGGTTTTCAGTGCTGTCAGTCCTAGAAAATCTCTTTGTCACCATAAAGTTACGAAATTCAGGAATGAAAAAGGCCTTTATAAGATCGGATGAAGAAAGGTTACTATCACAACAGAAGGCTAGTATCATCTCTACGAGGGCTCGGACATCAAGATTGCCACTTTCAGCAACTTACACAAGAGGGCCTGCGCGTTTGGAGAGCATTTAATGTTGGGCCTGGAAAGTTTATTCGGTAAAATTAAAATTGCAATTTTTCCACAGAAAAAATGACGGATCTGGTGGAGGAGATTCCATTTTTCCCCACTACTGCTCGACGAACTGCATCAGCAGGAGAAAGCAGTGATGGCAACGACGGTAGTTCCTATCAATGCCCTGAACCTGGTTGCGATGAAGATTTTAAGACCCAGACCGACCTTGACTTCCATATGAACTAGCTAGTTCATCATGTAAGTCCTGTCCCTGCGAGCATGACTTAAAGTCTTAATGACAAAGTGAAGAGATAGTGGGTTCATTACTTTCCGTCATTGTCATTAGAGGGTGAAAGTTCGACTGAACTGGTTGCAGTGGCCACAGAACCCTTGAAAAGTACATCAAAGGTTGGGATGGGCTCTTCATAAGAGAGGTTAAAGTGAACGGCTTTTGCAAAACGTCAGGCAGTACTTGAAACAGAAATTTAATATCGGATGAGACACTGGCAGAAACCAAACCCAGGGAAAGTAGCAAAGGATATGCGAACTGCTTGAACAATAGATGGAGAGAGAATGTTCGATAGAACAGAGTGGTTATCCAACATACAGATTCAGGGTTTTTTCTCGAGATTGCGCCATAAAGAGCGATCTAAAATACAACAAGAATCGGATGATGCCACCGACGCAGACGACCACTTGATAGAAGCATCCGCGTCTGATGTAGACGAAGGGTGTTTGAGAGAGGCGAGGAACACAGTAATCGATGAGATAGATTGAAACATCCAATCATGTTTGATATCTATGATATGTGCTCGTTGGCAAGAGAAGCAAGGTTGTCTAGTCTCAAAGTCAAGGTGCTAAGAGACATATACGAACATTTTGAGCTCGCATTCAAAACGCAAGATACAAATGCAGCACCTCTTGCAAAAATGGAGGAATTGATTTCGGAGTGCAGTTGTTATGCAATCTAATTATGACGTCCACCCGTTATGCGAATGCGAATCATTTTTTACAAGAACTCTTCAAACTTATGAACAGAGACTGTTATGCAGACAGATGTGACGACCAAATATAATTTTTTCCCTTTCAGCTAGAAATCCGAGAAATCGCTGCTTTTTTTAGACGTGAGAAGTATTCAGGACAATTACACGATGGAATTACGTGACAGAGTCACTGGTCACGGTGCATTTCAGTGTGTGCTGTTATCGCCGGTTACACTAAATAGAATCCTGTAGTTTAATTTTGAAATGTTCATGCAGGCTTGAATAGCGTAAGCCATCAGAACTCAAATATGAAATAACAGAAGCCCAATTTTTAAAAAAGAGTTTGCGAGCGCTAATCAAATTATGATATTCGATACGTTGTTGTTGACGTCTTTCGTCACGAGATAATAAAATTTGTCAAATTTTGGCCTTTTAAAATGCTTAAAGTATTAATCGGTGTGTTTTTAAAGCTCTGTCCTACTATATTTTCTACTTAAAATGGTTAAAATCTAAGATTTATTGAGCTACTCACATAAAACGGTCGGAGTTTGCTCAATGAACTAATTTGCATAATCGGCTGTCACGCTTGCAATATCGCTAAAAGTTCGAAGTCACCTCGGCGAAGAAAATCAATAAGTGCAAGATGTTTTTATATTTTTCTGCAGCCAAACATCTTAATGGCAGAAATCAAGCGGAGTTTTTAATGGTCTGGTCTGGTCTGGACTTGAGCAATATCAATCGAGAAAGAAAGAGTACTTTTAACCAATTTCAGAAAGCTGTCCAACGAGTGTTTTTAAATAAATTGCGACGAACCTCTTTAATTTGCAGAGAACAACATGAATAATATGCATACTGATGTTCGGGTGTAAAGGGTTAAATTAGTTTTCACTGTAATCTCAGATTCACTAAACCTGTTATTGGCAGATATGTTCTGGAGTGCCCAGGATGTGGTGTAATCTATCGTAGCCGTCAGAACTGGTTTGGAAATAAATACCCAGTTATGACTGTGGTCCGGACTGAGCTTCGCCATGCATGGCCTGGGGTGAGGTTTAATGCTCGACTACTGAAGATAAATCCCGCCACTTTTTTCCCAATAATTCATGAAAATCTGTGACATTGCTTACAGAAACAGACTCTTAATTTGTATTTGAGTAATATAACACACTTTCTATTGGTTTATCAGCGTAATAACCATGTAGTATGTTGGGAGAACACATGAAAAATTTGTAAATCACAAACCGGAGGCAAGTGATTGATAAACTTTTCTAGTGTTCACAACATCCCAAGAGGGTTATTAGGGCAGTAAAGCAATAAAAGGTGTGGTCTATCCCTTTTTATAGAATGAAGTTGAAACAAAACAGTATATTTCAGTTTTCTATGAGTTTTAACTGGACAAGTATAATAAATGAAAGGTTTTTGACCAACAAGCTCCAGCCATTTCATGAAGAAAATAGTCTTTTGCATCTTTTATTGTAACACACTTTTTGTATTCAGCGAGTTTTTGCGAAGCTGGATGGTGGTCATGCGGCCAGACGGTTTTTGAATCATTTCAGCCATGTAACTGACACAGTTAGAAATCTCGGTACTCCTTCCAGTCAGGCAGTGACCAACTGGATCACAGACAGAGTGGCTCCAGATTAATGGGTCGCAAATTCTGAAATAACAGTAAGTTTAAAAAAACTTGGTTCAGTTTGTAGTGAACTGCCTCTACACTGCAGTCATACACGATAAAGTTTAGGGCTCAAAATGAAGAAAAAAAAATAAAGACAAAAAAACAAAATATAAATATGAATAAAAAAATAAAGAAACCCTTTACAGTGGCCAATTTACATTATTAACTCAGTTGATAAAACCAAATTATCATGTAATACCTCTTCATTGACGCAGTGCCACAGCTTCATTTATGAGAAACTTACCCTCTCTATTCATCAAATTTTGGTTGAAACAAATTTAAAAGTCAAATTAGTCAAAAAATGTCTTAACTTCTTCTTCTGTTTTATTTCTTATCTTTTAGGCTTGTCAGGTATGCCGTCAAATATTCAGCGACGGGAAGACTAAGCACCACTGTCGCGCCTGTGGAGGTGGGGCTGTGATGCATGTTCAACCAATAAGAAACCTGTACCAGAACGAGGCTGGGGTGAGGAACAAGTGAGAGTGTGTGATCGCTGTTTTGGAAAAACGTCAACTGTGAAGGCTCAGCCTCAACCCACATGTGACTTAAAGTAAGGTTGTCATTTGAAATAAATTAACAGTAAAACACTAATCCAGAACTTTAACTCCCAGAAGTGATTAACATTTAACTTCTCTCTATGTTATCCATACATTATCAAGCAAGTAGATAATGAGAGTACTCAAACTTATTAGCCAGATGTTTTTATCTTGACCTGCCACCAAAATCTTGTAATCAATTTAGAGAGAAATTTGTCGCAGCTAGAGGGGAGAATTAACACTTAGATCGTGAGTTGAAGGGCTAAGCTTGATTTTGAGTTCTCCTCAATATTAAATACCTATTTTGTGCTCTTTTGAACAGTGATTTATCGGATGCCCTAGAAGAGGAAACTCCTCAAGAAATTGTGCAACCTGAAGACGTCCAAAGTCTGTATTCTGAAAACTCTTTTGGACCAGTAGCTGCCAGAATTGTAATAGAGGTTGTTCAGTCCGCTGTGGGTGTTTTAAAAACAGCCATTGTTTACCCATGCAGCAAGGCCAGGATACTGGGTACCAGACAGTCAAATTTTAGCCTGTAATTGTTGCCAAACTGAATTCAAGGGAAGTGATACCAAACGTCACTGCCGAGCCTGTGGTATGGGTGTTTGCAGCAACTGTTCAAAAAGTAGGAGACCTGTGACTTATAGAGGCTGGGATCACCCAGTCAGAGTTTGTGACCAGTGTGCTGCTAAAAAAAGGACAGCTTTAGGGTCAATTTGTTTTCAGTGAGAAGCCAGTCATGAGAAACTCCCAGCTTATTGGCCCTTCATGATCAGGTTTTTACTAATACTGCAACTTCATGAGGTTTACATGAAAATTACTACTTCATGGCCTTGCATGGAGATAGAGAGCATCATCAGTGGCTGTGAGATCAAGTGTGATTTAAGTCCACGGCATCCTTTGCTTGAGGTCTTTTAAACCAAACCAGAGTATTTTGAAAGCTCTTTATTTTAGAGCAATAAAAACCAACAACAAGGTTATCACAGGGGTCTGTCAGACCTAAGAATAATAACCCAAAGAGGCAATGGACTCTCAAATTGAACACGTGAAAACTGTCGGCTATGCAAGAAAATGCTCACAAATGAGTAATTTCTCTTAACAGAATCAATAAATCAATAACAAATCCCGTTGGGTGGTATGCCAATCTATTGCAAGGTTAGTCCTTTACGTCCTAAAATCAATATGCATATTCTCCACACTGTTCTCTATGTGATATCCGAAAGGGTAAATAAAGTTGTAGAGTGGAAAGAGCGTAGAAAAGAGGGCAACTATGTAAAACGGGCGATGTGGTGGAGAGACAAGATTATATTAGTTACGGAAGATTGTTATATCTTAGCAGGAAGTCCAAGGTAGTTATTGATAAGTCCAGAACTGTGCATCTACATCTCACTGAAAGCAACGAAAGACAATACACGAACAAACTAGTCTACTTTATTAAAGTATCGCTTTAATTTTCATTTAGGCCACAAAGCATAACTGTTCTTTTCCAAATCGATCCTTTTAAGGATATTAACGACACAAATTAGAGTCGAAAGGCAGGGGGGAGAGATTTTGGCCCGTCTACCTCTTCCTCTTATGTTACACCTTCTGAAATTGTGGGATAATATTAGAAAAAAAGTTATCTGCTAATGATATTTTCTACGACAGAGTAAGCGAGTTGGACAACTCTGTTATCAGACTATTTAAATGCTATTTGATATGCCGTTTTACATGAAAGAATGTTCGAACTCTCAAATTTACCTTTGTAGACTTAATAGAAAGAATGGCTAGAGATTGATCCAGGGTAAGACTAAAGTTACGGGCAGATATAAGTCCCTATCCGAGGGGTTGCGCTTGAAACAGGAAAATCTGTATAGAAACAATTTAACTTAATATTATTTTTTTAGTCATATTTATTGGACCAAGACGTATCCCATGACTTTGATGTGTTTGTCTCCATTATCTGGATTGATAACGGCCTCGTTACCACACGTGTTTGAATCGTCAGGGTAACCTCCTGTGCCAAGTCCGATCCTTGAGTCGCACGTGACACAGTCATTGTCGTTGTTGCCAACAATACCAATTCTGGCTTTAGAAACTGCTTCCCTAGTACAAACGGCATTGAACCCTTCTTTGTTGCATTTGTACTGTAACGAGCCTTGGGAACCAATCAACCCTTTCCACACGTCACGACCCAGTGAGGTGGCGCGGTATTGGCCATCAGCGATCAGTGAGTACAGAGAGTCAGCCTGCTTGTGGATGACAATGAACCTGAGCTGTTGGTGGGTCTTCATACCGAGACAGATCCTGGAGAAGGATGTGTTCCAGTAGGTGGGTAGCTTTGATTCTTGTCCGTCGAACCCAGTCTCTCCTCCGGGAAGATTGTATCCTTGGTAATTTATCCAGTAATTCGCCTTATAATGGAAGGTGGTCTGAAATAAATGAGCAATTCATTTGTTTTTATTTACTCCGAATTAATGGATATTTTCTCTCGAAGTCTTGTCGTGTATCTGCATTTATTGATCCATTACTCATTTGTTTTACCGATGATTTGACCTTGGTATTTACGACATCATGTCGTAATTACCAACATCAATAATCTCCAATAATACCCGACGCCGTAGATCATTGCATGACATATGTATCTAGTTATAAGGAGCTTTTCTTTGTTTTCATTTGCACTCCAATCAAGACTCATCGAAATGAATATCATTTGTGAAGTGAACGAAGGATGATAGACGTTGCTATTCTTTAACGAAATTCAGATCTCTTTGCATATAGAAAGAAGTTTGAGTGTGGTTTTGTCACGATAAAATCATTGGCAAGTAAAATGGCACTAAATGTTCTACAGTCCTCCAAGAATCCTTCCCTACCTATCCCCCACCTTCCCCGCTGTTTAGGGGATGAGCAATGACAGCTCTTTAAATCAGTGTAATATCTACACATCAATTAACTGGTGTGGAACTTTAACTCAGATAAGATATGTTCTTTGTTCCGAACAGCTTTTAACCGAATCATGATCGTAATGCTGTGTATTTCTTATCTAGCTGTTACATAATAATTGAGACAAATATGATAGCATATATTTATAAATTCTTTTTCATCCTTTTTCAACAGTCACTACACAAAATAAGTACTGAACGAAGTCTGTACTTCATGTATTACATAAGTACTTCATGTATTACATAAGTACTTCATGTATTACATAAGTAACATGCACTTTTTTTAACTTGCAACGTTTTGAAAGAGAGCGGGTTTATACACGAGATAATTAGTTAGCTAAAGTATGCACCTCACTACCGGCAATCTTCATGACTGGCGTCCATCCTCCGTCTCCACACCCAAAATTTCCCATGTGACAGAAAACGGACAATGGTTGGGAGTCAACAAGAAGGGTAACCACACCACTCACATTGGATCTTTCGAATCAAAATGAAAAAAAAAAAAATTAATAGTGAAAAAAATGGTGGTGAAATAAAACTTGAGCTTATAAAAATAACTATCATAGCTACAACGGTGGCAATGAAGGTGATAATGGGAAAGATACAGAGTGATAATAATAATAATGATTCAACAAATAAGCAAAGGAAAAGTTGATCCTTCAGCAAAAGACGACGTCAACAACTGCAGAATATATAAAACAGCCTTTGTAGCAACAAGGCTCGGTTATTTATCCTGGAATTAAACAGGTTTCTGGGGGCAAAGGATATTTTTCACTTCTGTGAGGACAGTAATACACTCCACCAAAGTGAATTTAATTTAGACGGACTTTCTGGAATGTGGCTTGAAAATTGGGTTATATTCGGTGACGTGATGGACTTGATAATAATAGATAATAAATAATCGAATATCAATTCTACTTACATATCCTTGTCATAAATTTCTTTACACGAAGTAGCTTCTGGAAGTAGTTTAAAAATACCTTTGATTAGAATTATAAAATTATATTGTCTATCGTGTGTTAGTCTTTTTTTTCTTCCTGGCTGAACTGAGACATTTTCTTTTCTAGAGGACTTTCTCGAGTAGCATGCATGCATGTTACTTCAAATCCTACAAAAGAAGAGAGGGTATCATTATCATTGATAATAATTATTTCCATCCAGTCTTTAAAGTTACTAATTAACTGATGGCTCTCCAAGTAACTAAAGTAACTTGTGTTTGAAGAGTGATTAATCATTCTGCTCTTTTTCCTGCTCAAATTTCATGGTATCAACCCACGAAATACTCTTCTCTCTTATCATAAGAGTTGTCTGATTTCATATATTTGTAAATTCATGCTCTGTTTGCTGTGTGCTTTGCGTTACGCGTTATGGTTACTGCGGTGCGTTGACATTTTCATCAGAAAGTTCTTTCATAGGAACCCCTCTTAACTTAATGTGCACAAAAGTCAACGTTTGCATGTACCTTTGCATCCACGGCCATTCCCAGTGAATCCGGGCTTGCATGCGCAGTAGTAAGACCCTTTGGTATTGTTGCAAAAGGCATGGGGACTGCAATTGTGAATCCCTTTGGCACACTCATCGATGTCTGAAGACAACAAAAGAAACAGGAAGCGAAGGAAACAAACAGATGAATTAGTGGGTCAGGTGGAATTGCAGGTAATCATTTGCTTTTCTTTTCAATCTCATTAGTACTAAATCAAATGTATTCGTATGTAAGTTCATTGTAGTTATATTTTAATCCACTTCACTTTCATCAGAAAGTTCTTTCATAGGAACCCCTCTTAACTTAATGTGTACAAAAGTCAACGTTTGCATGTACCTTTGCATCCGCGGCCATTCCCAGTGAATCCGGGCTTGCATGTGCAATAGTAAGACCCTTTGGTATTGTTGCAAAAGGCATGGGGACTGCAATTGTGAATCCCTTTGGCACACTCATCGATGTCTGAAGACAACAAAAGAAACAGGAAGCGAAGGAAACAAACAGATGAATTAGTGGGTCAGGTGGAATTGCAGGTAATCATTTGCTTTTCTTTTCAATCTCATTAGTACTAAATCAAATGTATTCGTATGTAGGTTCATTGTAGTTATGTTTTAATCCACTTCACTTACCCACAATTAAAATTACTTTTCAAATCTTAGACGCCAGTTTCAGATTTAAGAAAAAAGCATGTAAGTTTACTTTCTTCTGTGTGTCTCTCTCTTTCATTCTCTCTTTGGTTTTTTTTTTTTTTTTTTTCTGTTGCTTAGAAATGATGATGTAAATGACACATGTTCATGTAGTTAGTGTTCGACTTGAATGCTTCTTAATAATTGAATTAAAGATCTCACTTGAACGATATAAAGGTTTTTTTTTATTTACCTGTTTGGCACCTCGGACCTTTGTATCCGGCAGGACATAGACACTGATAAAGTTTGTCTGTAAAACTGCTTCGACAAGTGGCGTTGTTCGCGCAAGGATTGTCAGCACACATGTTCTTCTGAAGAAATAAGAGATAAAAAAGAACTTTCACGCTCAGTATGACACGACTTAGCCCAAACAGCGTACTATGCAAGGGTGTTGAAAAGTCACTAATGAGCTGCTTTTGCAATATTCACTTAAGAGAAACTTATACAATAGCCATTCGATTCAAAGATTGTTTTTCTGTGGAGTTAGGTTGTGGTTGGCACACCTAAGAATATGAAGGGATGAAATGAGTGAATAGAGAAGTAATCGAATTAACGAGAGAGCGAGTGAAATGATAATCGGAAAAAGCACATCTCATTCAGTCTTGAAGGAAGACGAACGTTCACTCCGGAAGAAGGCGCGGGTAATTATTTTAATCCCAAAATAAGTTACGTTACTGATCATTCATCTTGGATGACGCTTCCTTAATTAAGGCTGCAATTAATATATTATAGAGTGTTTCCCCGGACAGGCTGCTTTGAAATATGAAAAAACACAGAAGAGAGTCCTTACCACGATGTGATAGTGATATGAGCTTTCGTTTTGTCTGAATTCCTTGGGGTTGCTGTACTTATCAGATGACAATAACTCGCACCACAGTCTTATTTCGAGGGCCAAGTTCACAGAAATACAAGAAGGGTGTTGAAGGCATCTCATGGTACACTCCAAGTCGTCGTGCACCGAGAATATTCCAACTCGAGGCACATTCAAATAACGGAACTCATCTACAGAAAACAGACCTCGTCTAACGTATGTTATTCGGTGGTCCGCAGTGTTGTTTTCTGATGATCGGGTCAATGGAGCATTTTCAGCGAATAGCTAAATACATCTGTTACAATTTTTTAATGAGGTACTCTTTTTATAATTTAGCAAATAATTTGTTCCGTTACTTATTCAATCACAACTCTTCCCAAAAACTGCGAGGGCAATGCATATTAAAGAAGTTAGTAAATACCACACTTTAAATGCGAATTTGATCTTAGGGGCGTTTACATAAATGTTATAATATCTTTTCGGTCTTTCCTGCAAACGCTTCCCTAAAAAGCGCTCTCTCTTTTACGCTGCACAATTAATATCATTTTTCTTCCAAAATTTGGAAAGTTAAACTACAAACTACACTTTTATGTCAATGAGACTCAGTAAACTATAAGACCGCGAGACGGCTCTAGTCTCAACTATGATAATCTGCAGAAAAGAAGTGTTTCCTTGTGTTTTTCAGTCGATCGGAGGCAAGCGTGAGGCAGCGCAAAGGACGGATAACACGCAAAGTGAGAGACGAAAAAAGGAACTGAATAACTAATTTAGTAGATAGGATTTTTTTTTCTCTAACTGAATGTTACATAACTCACAACCATACACTTGAGTACCGCTCTCGCTAAGAGCGGTCCTCTCGACTTCCCGTCGATAGTAAAGGGTTTTTTTTTTTTTGCCCATGAAAAGGGTTTAAGGCGTATTTCAAAAATAGTTGTGTCGCCACAAGCCAAAGTTTATTTTTGGTTGGACCACCCAGTTTTTAAGAAATAATTCTAATAAATACAGGCGTAAATCGGGCCAAAAAGGCGTATTAGTGTACCGATTGCCTTAGAACCGCGGGTATCTCTCTAACTTTCATTCATCAACACCTTTAAAACAACGCAAATCCGCGTGTTTGCTCAATTGCGCTCGAGATATCCCTTTGACCATTTAAACTTTGTTTTTTTATCTTCTACGTTGAAGATTTTAGGTTTTTATAATAACTGGATAGAAAATGGATCCCAAGTTGTCCTGAAACGTCGCATGAACATGATCCGTGTGGTAACGCTTCCTTGACTTACAAAGTAAACAAAGGTGACTGGATGGCGACTCCTCGATAATTATCGTTGAAACAGGCCATGAGCCACACACAGTGTGGAGAAGATCAAAAATTAAAAATTGACACTCTGGTCTTTACAGACATTCCGCGTAGCTTACAGGGACACAGAATCAAGCAAAAATATGTTTCGGTGTCATTTACGAAACAAGACGCATACACTCTGAAAGAATTCTTGCAGTTTCTTCTGATAATTTGCACACGGAACGCAATGAATTGGCCCTCCTTTCTGGAAATTTGTTTCCATCATTAATTATTTTATGCAGTTATGGACCACGACATTCTCCAGTGACATACTAAACATTTCCGTGGACCATCAAAACCTAATAAAAAAATATCCGGCTTGATGTATAGCGTGACGTGATTATGCTAATTAGTTTGCCCCTTTTGCTGGTATAAAAAGTGAAACCAAACACCAGCTAATGCAACGAATTAGAATCTAAAGTTATACAATGAATTGGAGAATTTTACATCTTACTAATAATTTCATCTCTCGAGATCTTTACCTGTTTCATGGAAGGCAAATATTATAGTGGCCGCGGGAGATGGTTGCAAACATTGTAATGGATTACAAGCAATTACAGACTATCGAGATTGTTGCGTAGACTATCCTAAAAGGTGTTTAGTGAACGGCATGAGTCTCTTAGCCGAGACGAAAGCTTAAGTTTATATTCAAAACAGAAGAATATGGAAAGCTTATAGTTTGAGAAATTCTGTTGGTCAGCATGTCATGTGATCACGTCGCGTGTAATAAACAAACCTAACTGTAGATAGAAATATGAGAGATGGTAAGATTTTTCTTTCTCTAAACCAAACTGTCTTCAACAAAACTCTTTCTACTGGACAACAGTCGAACTAACACTTATGTGAAAGTCTATCCTAGAGTTGTTTACCCAGCTTAAAAGATAGGAGTCCAGTTAAAGAAGGTGTCAATTAACTAACACTATAATTATTGGGAGATATTTCATTCCTCTGGCGAGCTTGAATTTGACAGTTCCGCTTTTTTCTTTCGTCTAACGGTTGTGTTTTTGAGACAGCTAATAATAATTCTAAATTAACACCTCACTAAGTAAGCGAAATAGAACGAGCTTGAATTTGACAGTTCGGCTTTCCTCTTTCGTCTAACTGATATAAACTGTAGACTTTCTTAAGAGAATATTTTAAAAGTACAATTTGAACGGCTAAGCTGAGAA